CCCCTGAACATAAGAGGATCTGCGGTGGAAGTGGTCTCCAGCTACAAGTACTTGGGTGTACACATGAATGACAACCTCAGCTGGAGCAACAACACCACCAGCCTGATCAAGAAAGCTCATCAGAGACTCTACTTCCTCAGACGGCTGAGGCGAGCTGGTCTGGGAAGCTCAGTCCTCACCTCCTTCTACAGGTGTGCAGTGGAGAGCATCCTGTGCTCCAGCATCAACGTGTGGCATGGAGGCTGCACAGCTGCAGAAAGAAAAGCTTTGCAGAGAGTGGTGAAGGCTGCACAGAAATCTGTTGGAATCAGTCTCCCCACCATCACAGACATCTACACCTCCAGATGCAGGAAGAGGGCCACCTGCATCATGAAGGACCCCACCCACCCAGCACACACACTTTTTGCCCCACTCCCCTCAGGAAGGAGGTTAAGGAGCATTAAGTGTAGAACCACTAGACTGAGGAACAGCTTCTACCCTGAGGCTGTTAGACTCATGAATCTCTAACTAGAATAATCACTGTGAAAAACCATATCATGTTGCTGCTGATCTGTTTCAATGTTGATGTGTTCATGCGTGCACATCTGCTCACAGACTCATGTTCATGTTTGTGCTGATGTTCAATGTTTTATGTTATGAGTGCTTAGTGTATATTTAGTTGATGTTTTTCTTAGTTCATATCTTAGATGTCATTACTGTTTTTCTTATACATTTTATTGTTGGATGTAACTGGGACCCTGCGTACATAATTTCGCTCCACCACATGTACCACATGAGGTGCGAATGACAATAAAGAAACTCTGACTCTGACTCTGACTCTCTGATGCCTGGCTAAGCAGTCCTTGTGCACTTTAATGTGGTGCTTTTTCAAATGTTTATTAAGTTTGTTGTATTGTAGGTCGCGACTGAGCTTCCCCCTCTTGGTACAGCGGCTCTGCAGACATTGCACTTTGCTGTCTTGCAGTGTTTAGTGTAAAATACTTCCACACAGCGGACATGTTACGATGAAAAGTTAGTTAGCCATTAGCAATAGTGCTGCTCAGTGCTCAGCCCTCAAAAAAGTATTTACTCACGTTTTAGCTGGCTGCAAACGATGAAATGGATTTCTTGAATGTGAGGTGGGTCTTATTACTCTGGGTTTCATGAAACGTGCCTCCGTTCAGGAAATCCATTCCATAGTTTGAAGCCAACCTGCAGAGCAGGTCATCAAACACAGACATGCATCATGGATCGGAAAGATCGGCAGGTTGTATCGGAAAAAATCTTCCGGGTTTTAAAGCGGATGTGGTGTTAAATAACTTCCAGTGGCTATAGCGTTAGCATTAGACAGTGAGGAAAATGGCTCAGTCAAGAAAACAACCATATCTGTCCTACCATGCTTTTCACGACATACTCAGACCAAAGGAGGCAGTGGATCCAAGTGATCAGAAAAGCTGAGGGTCCCGACTTCTGCATAAAGCCAGGGAACACTTGTATGTAGCTTGCATTTCACTCAGGAGGATTTTGTCTGCGGATCCACCACCAGCTGCTTTAAAGGTTGAGCTGTTCCTTCTCTCTTCACATGGAATAATTTCTCTGCACCAGCTAAGAGAGAGTCTGTTTTTAGAAGACTCAGAAACAGCAGCTTGTCCTCTCACAGAAAGCTAGCCAGGCTGAAGCTGCTACTGGAGTCCACGTGAAACTCACTTCACCTGGTGGCACATCCACCCACAGGTAAATATCACATTAAGATGGTATGTTATAAACTTGTCATGTAAGTCATGGAGAGATCAAGTTACATGCACTTACTCACAAAATGTATCTATCTTCACGGAATTAATGTCAACAACAATAATAATAATGTCAATAAGCTCAATAATTGAAACGATCTTGCTAATCATATTTTATTTAGTGGTTTTACAGGTGAACTCCCAGCTGTCCTCATTCTGCTCAGTCCTGTGTTGGTGGACTCTCAATCCTGCTTGAGTCACCAAAATTAGGCAGTGTCTTACCTGAGAGAAGATTGGCTGACTGAGCTAAAGGAAGCTTGTTACATATTGTTCTAGTGTTATGTAATCAGTTATTTAAAGCTTTTTAATTATTTTAAACATTCTTCAATTAAAACACACTTGAGCAGCATACTGTACTGTATTTTATTTAATTTGTGGATTGAGTCAGTTGTAATAAAAGGAAAAAAGTGTAATTTACAATATCTCGTAAAAAAAAAAAAAACTTAACTATTTAATGTTTTATAACTGTACACTATAAATTGATCGTGGATTATAGATATTTTTCCCAAATTATGCAATTTCATTTTAAAGAAATTGTCATATTTATGTATTTTTCATGAGTAACAACTTTTTACAGTATTTACAGATTCACACAGCTTGAGACTGAATATTAAAAATATGAAGGAACAAAAGATGTGATTTGTACATTTTATGATTCTTACTGCGTTGATATAAACACATCAATGAAGGTGTTGAAGTAAAACATGTCAGCAGACTCCTCCTCCGCACTTCTTCTGCAACACGGAAACAGCAGTAAGCCTTGGTTGTAGAAGCTGAACCCCTGCAGAACATCTGGACTGCTCCCTGGTTCTGGCCTTTGAGAAGACGTTTCCAGTGACACTTGCAGAGACTGAAGATGTGAAGTGTGGACACAAAACATGTTGGGAAGACTGCAGCCTCAGAGGAAGAGCAGGGAAGTGTGGAGCCATGTGGTCCAGAATGATGCTACGCATGTCACAGTTTACTCTCTGCTTTTTTCCTTTTCTCATCACTCTGTTCACTGACTTTTTCTTCTCTGCTCTCCTGGGGTTTTCCTCTGCTGCTTCTACCAGCCTCTTTACATGCCATACCTCTCTCTCTGATTGCTGCTGATGGTTTCCACCTGTTTCTGGGTGTATACTGTATATACTTCCTGCTTTCTCCACTACATTGCCAGATCAACTGCTTGCTTCCAGCCACAGTTATCCAGCGTACTCTCTTTGTTCACAGCTCTTTAATCTTGATCCACGCCTGTTTCCCTTGACCACGCTTTTTGCCTGTTCCTTTTGCGCCTCAGCCTTCTGACCTTGTTTACGACCTACACCCGTTCTTGGATTTCACCTTTGCCTCTCCCTATCAGTACTGTCTCCTCTTCGGATCCCGTGTATGAACCCTGCTCATCCTCGACTATGCCTCTGGACTTCCCTTGGTTTCTGCAGCTCTGCATTCTCCGCTGGAGCACCCCGTTACAACAAGAAAGGTTAGTGTTTCATCAGACCGTCTGTATTCAGATAACTACTCGTTATTTTGTCAAACACTAACCTTTCCCCTCTGTATCAGTTTAGATACATTTTCTGGACCTGAGACACCAGAAGCTGTTTATTTACTCAATAAACATTTTAAAAACCTTTCTGAGTCTGTGTGTAGGATCCTCTGCCATCAGATCTCTGACAGATTGATCTGGCCAAACATGGATCCTGCACCGGGCTCAGAATGGCACTCTGGTGTGGAAGGTGCCATCGGAAAATTAGAGACCGTCATGAATGAGATCATGAACATGTTTAAGACTCTAACTCTTCACTCTAACCCTCAGGACTCAAATCATGCCGGCAGTCCTGCATATGCTGGAACCACGAGTAACTCACTCCGGGAACCACGGTTGGCTCCACCAGAACTGTTTTCAGGGGCACCGGACCAGTGCCGCCCGTTCATAACACAATGTGAAATTAATTTTCAGCTCCAGCCGTCATCCTTCCCCTCGAACGTGCTAAGGTGGCGTATGCCGTATCCCTCCTGTCTGGAAAAGCTTAGTCTTGGGGAACGTCAAAATGGCAAAAGGATTCAAGGTACTGCTACTCGTTTCATGAGTTTTCTAAAGAGCTGTGCAGAGTTTTTGACCCCATCCTCCCAGAAAGAGAGGCTGCTTGTAGACTGTTTTCAGTGAAGCAGGGCAAACAAAGAGTAACTGAGTACATTATAGATTTTCATGCTACGGCTGCTGGTAGTAAATGGAATGAAGAGGCACTAACTGATGCTTTCTACCGAGGGCTTAATGAGGAGATCAAGGACAACCTGGCAACCAAGCGATACCCGGACTCACTGTAGGACCTGGAGGATTTGGCAACAAGGGTGGATCTGCGCTTGATGGAGAGATCCCGAGAACGAGCTGAGAGATCCAGCAGAGCCTCAAGACCCCTTGAGGAACCCAGAGAGGCACCCAGACGGCTTCTTCTGAGACCCCCCTCTCCACCACGTCCACAAGAGACTCCACCACGAAAGGAGCCCGTGCAGATTGGACGCAGCTGTCTTACTCCAGAAGAACGTGAGAGGAGATGTCGGAACCGGCTGTGTTTTTACTGTGGCCAGGACTCTCACAACATCTCTAATTGTCCGTTAAAAGGCCAGACTCAGCAGAGAAGAGGAGACTTCTCCTGATTCAGACCCAAAATCCAGTAATCTCCTCACCCTTCACGTTTCCAGCTGAGCTGTCCACTTCTGGTAAGACCTGCACCTCCATTAAAGTACTCATCGACTCAGGGGCTGACTCTGAGTTCATGGACCTTCACTTTGCCCAAGAACGAGGAATAAAACTGTTTAAATCTCCTAAACCACTGTCCATCGTAGCCTTAGATGGTCACCCTCTTCATGACTCTTCTTTAATCTCCGAACAAGTGACTTTAACCATAGGGGGTAATCACAAAGAGACATTGCAGTTTTTTATTATCAAATCCCCCCACTCTCCTGTGATCCTAGGGGCCACATGGCTCTCAAAACACAACCCACACATTATCTGGCAACAGAAGGAGATTATAGGTTGGTCCGACAACTGTTTGTCATCTTGTCTTTTTTATGTGGTCATTCCCTCCATGCCTAAGAACAATATTAAAGAGACTTACCCAGATCTTTCTAAAGTCCCAGAGGAGTATCATGACTTGAAGGAGGTTTTTAATAAAGTCAAAGCCACTTCTTTACCACCACACAGGTCTTATGACTGCCCTATTGACTTGGTTCCTGGTTCTACTCCCCCTAAAGGGGCCCTGTACTCTGTCTACTCCTGAGCAAGAAGCCATGCAGGAGTACATCAAGACCTCGCTTCAAGCCGACATCATCAGGCCTTCTACCTCTCCAGCAGGCGTTGGTTTCTTCTTTGTGGGGAAGAAGGTGGATCCTTAAGGTCCTGCATAGACTATAGGGGGTTAAACAAAATAACCATAAAAAACAAATACCCCCTTCCATTAATGTCATTTGCCTTTGACCTCATCCAAGGCGCTTCAATATTCATCAAGCTTGACCTCCGTATTGCGTATCGTCTGGTGCGCATACGTGAGAGAGATGAGTGGAAGACAGCCTTCAATGCACCCAATGGTCATTATGAATATTTGGTAATGCCTTTTTGTTTGACCAACGCCCCAGCTGTGTTACAGTCTCTGGTCAATGATGTCTTAAGGGACATGGTAAATCAATTTATGTTTACCTGGACGATATTTAAATTTTCTCCAAGGACCTAACTTCACACAAAAAAAAACATGTCAGATCTGTTCTCACCCAGTTGTTACAAAATAACTTATTTGTTAAAGCTGAAAAATGTGATTTCCACCAGTCCTCCACATCTTTCCTTGGTTTTAAGATTCCACCCAATTTAGTTGAGATGAATAACGACAAGGTTTCTGCAGTACTAGACTGGCCAGTACCTAAAGACCACAAACAACTGCAGAGGTTCTTGGGGTTTGCTCATTTTTACCGGAGATTTATCAAAGACTATAGCCTCATTGCTAACCCCCTCCATGTTCTCACCTCCTCCAAGAAAAAGTTCATATGGACAGATGTAGCTGATACAGCATTAAAAAAATTAAAGACTTTGTTTTCTTCAGCCCCTGTCCTCCATGCCATTAACCCAGAGGTACCATTTATCGTTGAAGTAGATGCATCTAGTGTGGGTGTGGGAGCAGTGCTTAGCCAACAGGATAAGGAAGGAGTTATTCATCCCTGTGCTTTCTTCTCCAGAAGCCTATCGCCAGCTGAGCGTAATTACGATGTTGGGGAACGTGAACTGCTCACTGTTAAGCTGGCGCAGGAGGAGTGGAGGCACTGGTTGGAGGGTGCCCAGGTCCAGTTCCATGTTTGGAACGACCATAAAAACTAGGGATGCACCGATCCACTTATTTAAACTTCCGATCCGATCCCGATACTTAAGTCTGAATATCGGCCGATACGGATCCAGTTCCGATATCATGATCATTATTGATTTTATATGAGGCTGTTATCTCCTCTCAAGTAGAATTTATACAAATATATGCATGCATGTCCAAAAAGGCAATTTGAGGTAAGTTGTATTAATGTTGGATAAGTTTTAAAGTTAGAATTAAATTCGGCTAACACAAAACATGTTTTTTTGTATTCCTAGCGTTAAAGTGGATATTAAAGTGATTAATTTAAGTGATTGTTTAAAGTTATTTTATTTTTTAAATAAGGGGCACATATAAAAAAATTTTCTTCTTTCTGCACTCTTTTCATTCAATGTTTTCTTTTTGATTAATTTTTTTAATTTTGTTTCTTTAAATGAATGCATAAATGGATTAAATTAAATAAAATGTCTTCAAACACCTGCTAAGTTCATGGCATAAACCAACAGACATGTTCCTGTTTTTAGTATTTTACATCACTTTATAATGTAGCTGTTTTTGTTTTTAATATAATTTTTAAATCATATGTTTTTTTTATGATTGTCTGTTGTACTGATAAATATCTCCTGGAGGGTAAACTATATCTTGACTGCAAGTATCAAGCTGAGAAATCCTTCGTTTTCTACAACTGATAGTGGTTGGTCATGAATCATGATGAAGTTTAGCAACTTCTCAGTAAACATTTGAGCTCCGTGGTTTCAGCGATGTCTTCTTCTTGTTCAATCCGAAGCAGGCAGCCTGATTTGGGGCAGCCGCGCTCAGTCTGTCCCTCCTCGGAAACGGGCAGATTGAGCGGGGCAGATTGGACGCGGCTGGCCAGGGTTGAGTCGCTTCTTTTGGGTTGAGCAAAGACTAGCACCCCCGCTGAAGCCACGGAGCTCGAATTTCCAACATAAAACTAACTTTACCGTGTCCTGATGCATGCTCAATAATCCAGGTAGAAAAATCCAAAAAAGTTCAATCTGGTCCTCTGGACATTCAAAAAAACAAAACAAAGCAAAACAACAAAAAAATGTAGAAACGTTTCGTCTCATCTGAGAGACTTCCTCGGTCTGAGGTACTGTATTCAGCTCAGTCTCTTAAATAGCACCTTCTCTGAGTGGATCAACCAGTTTTGCTGCTGACAACCAAAACCAGCTGATCACATGCTCAAGAAGGACCATCAGCCTAACAATGGATCATTAGCACACTGATGGCTGTTTACTATTCACAGAGGGCTGAGTGATACTAGCAATCACAGCATTGTAAGAGGGGGACAATTGAACACGTAGGCCTCCACCCCTGTTTAACGATGGACGGTTTCTTTTCACAAAGATGGCCTCCTTTACTCCTCTCTCAAACCATTGTTCCTCTCTATCCAGGATGTGCACATCTTCATCCCTTTAAGAGTGACCGCTGGCCTGGAGATGAGTGTAGACCGCAGAGTCCTGGCCTGATGATGTTGAATAGTAAACAGCCATCAGTGTGCTAATGATCCATTGTTAGGCTGATGGTCCTTCTTGAGCATGTGATCAGCTGGTTTTGGTTGTCAGCAGCAAAACTGGTTGATCCACTCTGAGAAGATGCTATTTAAGAGACTGAGCTGAATACAGTACCTCAGACTGAGGAAGTCTCTTGGATGAGAGACGAAACGTTTCTACATTTTTTTGTTGTTTTGCTTTGTTTTGTTTTTTTGAATGTCCAGAGGACCAGATTGAACTTTTTTGGATAACTTTACCGTGGTTTAATGTGACTCTATGGCTCTGCAGACATTGCACGTTGCTGTCTTGTCTTGTGGTGTTTCTAGTGTAAAATACTTCCACACAGCGGACATGTTTAGATGAAAAGTTGGTTAGCTGTTAGCCATAGTGCTGCTAACTCAGTCCTCACGTTGTAGCTGGCTGCAAACTATGAACTGGATTTCCTGAATGTGAGGCAGGTCTTATTACTCTAGGTTCCTGAGACACACTGCCGTTCAGGAAATCCATTCCATAGTTTGAAGCCAACTGCAGCACAACCACAGACATGCATGGATCGGAAATATCGGCAGGTGGATCGGAAAAATCTGATACGTAAATTATGCTGGTATCGGATGCCGATACCGATACTGGATCGGATCGGACTCATCCCTAATAAAAACCTCGAGTACCTTAAGTCGGCCAAACGCCATAACCCTCGACAAGCCAGGTGGGCACTTTTCTTTTCCCGTTTTAACTTTGCCCTCACCTATAGACCTGGTCACAAGAACACAAAATCTGATGCCCTCTCTCGCATCATGGAGGAGGATTCTTGTTCCTTGCCTCCTCCTGTCGGGGAGTTTATCCTTCCAAACTCTGCCCGCCTGGTTGTCACTCAACTGGAGCTGGACCTAACGACAGGCTAACCAGTTGCACCCTCCTCCAACCGCCTGTCCCCCTTGACCGATTATTTGTACCCCCTTATTTTGTCCAGGAGGTCCTCAAGTTTAGCCACAGCTCCTGCCTAGTTTGTCATCCTGGTTTTTCTAACTATTTCCTTAGTTCGCGCACAGTTCTGGTGGCCCACATTAAACCAGGATGTGCGCTCTTTTGTTTTATCCTGTCCTGCCTGTTCCCAAGCCAAGTCCTTACGTCATCCCCCCTCTGGTCTCCTCCGTCCACTTCCTATCCCGTCACGCCCATGGGCCCACATCAGTCTAGATTTCATTACTGGTCTTCCTCCCTCTGCTGGCAACACCGTCATCCTGATGGTTGTTGACCGTTTTTCCAAGATGGTTCACCTGGTCCCTCTTCCCAAGCTTCCCTCAGCCAAGACCCTGGCTGGGATCATGTCACGTGAGGTCTTTCGCCTGCATGGTCTGCCCACAGATATCGTTTCTGACAGAGGACTTCAGTTTGTCTCCAAGTTCTGGAGAGAATTTTGAGACCTCCTGGGGATCTCCATTAGCCTCTCCTCAACTTTCATCCCCAGACTGATGGCCAGACAGAGAGGGCGAACCAGGAGGTCGAGGCCAAGCTGAGGATCCTCTGTCAGAAAGATCCCAGCCAGTGGTCCCCCAACCTCTCCTGGGTTGACCACGGCCTCAACACTGTCCCATCCTCTTCTACTGGTCTGTCCCCTTTTTACACGGTTTTTGGCTTTCAGCCCTCTTTAATCACCATACAGGAACGTGAAGCTCAAGTGCCATCTGCTCACCAGTCAGCCTTATGCTGCCAATGCGTATGGCAGAGAGCCAGATGAGCCCTCCTGGAGACCTCTGCCGTCTACGTTAAAGGGGTCTCAACAACCCACTTATGAGGAGGGCCAGAAGGTATGGCTCTCCACCAGAGACCTCCCATTAAAAGTAGAATCACTCAAACTTGCTCCCCGTTTTATTGGCCCTTTCCCCATATCCAAAGTCATTAACCCAGTTTCTCTCCGTTTATCTCTACCCAAATCCATGAGAATCCACCCATCATTTCACATATCCAAAATCAAGCCCTTTTTGCCCTCCCGTTTTCACCCCACCCGCCCAGCTCATTGATGGGGCACCCTCCTACACTGTGTGCCGACTCCTTCGCTCCAGGGCTGAGGAGTCCATTACCTGGTCGACTGGGAGAGATACGGCCCAGAAGAATGTTCTTGGGTCCCCTCCCGTCACATCATCAACAAGTCCCTCATAAGGGACTTCCATCGCCTTCACCTGGACCAACCTCGGGGCGCGTCAGGTGCCTCGCCTTAAGGGGGGATCTGTCACAGTTTACACTCTGTTTTTTTTTCTTTTTCTCATCACTCTGTTCACTGTTTGACTTTTTCTTCTCTGCTCTCCTGGGTTTTTCCTCTGCTGCTTCTACCAGCCTCTTTACATGCCACGCCTCTCTCTCTCTGATTGCTGCTGATGGTTTCCACCTGTTTCTGGGTGTATATATACTTCCTGCTTTCTCCACTACATTGCCAGATCAACTGCTTGCTTCCAGCCACTTTTATCCAGCGTACTCTCTTTGTTCACAGCTCTTTAATCTTGATCCACGCCTGTTTCCCTCGACCACGCTT